ACCATACCAACAAAGCTGTAGCATGCCAAAGCTCAATTCCATAATCATTACAAGAAAGTGGGTTTGTTCTATGTCATATATGAATTAGATTTCATTTTATTTTGTAAAACTCAAACTAAATATAATCAGTGGTAATCCATAAAATATTATAAATATTGGTTAAGCAAATTTGTGATAAAAAAAAGTAAGTACTCTATTTTTCTTTATTTATCACTTTAGGATTTTGCACAATATATGCACAATGAAATTACTATTCTTGCTTTTATTAAAATTGTTATTTGATTTCTTATTAATTAATTATTCTTTTTTTAATTACAGGTATAATTAATACAAAATAATTAATTTTATTTAAAACTTTTAAAAGTGATAAATAAATAAAAATATAATTTTTATAATAAATAACAAATAAAAGAAACAAGTAAATAATTTCAATATTTATTTCCAATTAATTTGTTCTTGTATATTTCATTCGCAGAGACACCAAAACAAGGTGACGTGGGACTTGGGGAACTTCTAGAGAAGTTAGATGTGTCCAACTGCCAAAGTAGAACCGAACCCATGCCTTTGTAAGCAAATGAGAGATGAGCACCAAACCATTCCACTAAAAGCTTATGCGTATTATATGTACAAATTTTACTTCTTATCATATAACGTTTTAACCAGTTGAACCATTTACCCAATAACGTTTTAACCGGTTGAACTATTAACCCAATATATAGACTGAGTCATTAAATGGACTGAGTTTTATAACATCAGATATAAAATTACCTAACAATCTTATTAAAATTATTTGGTACTCCATTATATTTACTTGATAAATCTTTATTGACGAAGGCACAACTATGTGTAGGAAAAAGATAGAATGAGATGGAGAGAAATAAGTCACATGTTAATAGTGTAAGACGTTTAATATAGAATGTAAAATTCAAAAGGATATGATTTACTTTTTAAAAAGATATGATTTATTTATTAAAAAATATAATTTTTTGTTGTTAAATTTAAATTTTAAATATAAATTTTTAATTCAAATTTAAAATTCAGTCAGTTTTTGTTCATTTTAGTAACTTTTTTTTCATAATTTAATATTTTTTATTAGTATTTTTACAATAAAACTAAGAAAAATTTAGTAAATTTAAAGTATAAAGTGATAAAATGACCATTAGAATAGTCCTGGAATCCTTTTCATGTTTAAACAAGAAAAATGTTAATCATAACTCTTAGGATTGAGTTTAAGTAACTAAACATAATAAAACTTTATTTTTTAAAAGTATTTATTATATTTTTATAATTTTAATACAATAAAAATATATAATTTTTTAATAAAAAAATTATCACTTTCAAACACTTAAATCTAATCTTAATAGTTGATGTTTTTCTTATATTTTTATTTTTATATCAGCTATTTAATGTTGTTAACTGTGTGAAAGATAATTTTTGGAAGCCTGTTCAATTAAGCCAAGGGTTCTAAGATTTCTCATTTGACTTTTTAAGATGATCTCATTCTTTTGTTCAAGTTCATGAATAGGTATTCATTTAAAGTTGTGCATCTATTAATCACATAATCCGTGAACTAGTCACATAGTATATTGTCTATAGATTGGCTTGATTAATGTCCCATACTTTGAATTTATTGTTTGTTATTAATTTGTTTAACATCACTGGTATAAGAAGATTTTGTTCTATATATTTTATATAATATTAACTGCTTTAGTTCATGATTCATCGATTTGTCCAAATTTAATAATATTAATGAAAATTATTAAGCACGGGTAGCCAGGTGACCTTGTCCGTTGGAAGGAGTTATCGCCGGAATCTCGTCGAGACGAATTCCAACATTGTCTATCATTCTGTTTGAGGTTTTATTTCTCTCTTTCATCTTTCTCTTGCTTGCGACATTTGTTGGCAGAGGGGAGAATCTATCTTTCTCATCACTTGTTGATGATATTTTCACTTCTTAGACACGTACGAGAACGCAAAATACATGTATTGTTCCCACCGATAAATAGAAGAGAGATCAATTTTCAAATATGAGCGTGAATTCAACCCACTTTTATATCATTAATAATTTTGTATAAAATATAAATTTTATTAATATAATCATTAAAATTTAACTTTATCAATATTTATACTATTTGTTTCAAATTTTATAAAAATTAAATTATAATAATAAGATAATAAAACCTCTTATTGTAATAAGTACATTAAGTATAATTTTGTCCTTTCTAGTGTGCTACGAGAGAATATTACTGTATTAATACATTAATTTTGTTAGTATTTTATATATTACAACTATAATCATTATTATAATAAGAATATTTTAAAAACTGTGAACATTCAATTAAATTTAAATAAGGGAGGGATACGTGTATAATTAAGATTATTGTTTTGTTTTGCTTAATAAGCACAAAATGCAAAAATAAGATGCATGGTCCCTTTTCCTTCAATAATTACGTATCAAATGCACACTACGCAGAATAAAAATGTTTTATTTTGTTGTATCCCATTCCGTTTTGTCTGTGCACCAAACACTGCTTCAAAATGTTAGCATGCAAATATTCATCGTGACTAGAGCATGACCATGACAAGCTAGGTTGCTAGATTCTCAAAAAAAAGTATAATGAGAATTATATTACGCAAGTGATCATGCACGCCGATGGATCATGAAAGAAAATGGTGGAATTTAGATTGCAAACTAGTCCTTTTTTGTCACTTTGTTTACCTACATATCACAATTCTTAACGTTAGATAAGTAGTACTAGCAACTCACTCAATAATATATTCTTAATTATTAACTAAAACTTATTAAAAATTAAGTAAAAATAAAAAGTGAACATCATTAAATTAAAAATGAGACTTAATAAATTTTAATTAATAATTAAAATTATTTTATAAAATATATGATTTTTTTTTTAATTTTGATACAATTTTTATCCATGCAGTTGGTATAAGTAAAATGGTTATTATGTTTACTACTATTACTATTATTATCTCCGTGGTTATTATCATTCTTTGATGCGGTGGTTGTGGGATGTTCCAATTACAACCCCATGATTTAGTGGAACGCACCGTCTGACAACAATTTAAGCTATGCGATACAAGTCACTTGGAAGCCACCTTTGAGGAAAAGAAAAAAGAAAGGAAATAAAGATGAGCCTTTCGGAACAGATTTTACAAAATGATTAGAGTAATTTTTTATAATGAAGGCATTTCTTGAACTCAGACTTAGTCATGTACATTTTTTAAAAGCAAGAAAAAAAGGTCCAAACTTTATTCTTAGAAAGAATGGATGAAATGCTGATAAATACTTTTCAAACCGACTAGAAAAATATGTAATTTCGTTCTCTCTTTTAAGAGTAAAAAATATGTTATTTCGACCAAAGAAAATATGGTAATTTCTAAGAAAGAAGACGAAGAAAAAGCATTTTTTTGCCACTTATTTATTCTGCCTTTTGCAGCTTCTCCTACATGTAATAAAATGATTAAAAATATATAGACAAGTAACATTTCACTCATTATCATCAAAATTTGATTTGACAAGGAAAAAGAATCTCTTAAAATGATAAAAAGAATGACAAAAGTTGTTAGTTCTAATAACATATCTAACGATGTTTTAAAGTATATAAGAGAACAAGATATCATTTAACTTAACTATTTCGAGATTTTGAAATCTAAAAATTGCCAAATGAATAGAAGGAGAGTGCTGGATTGCCAGGTACAAGAACAAAGGATATTTAGAATTGTGTAAACTGACCAGAAATACTTAGAATTGTGTAAACATACCAGAAATACAACTTATAGTATAAAACTATGAAGCAAAAATATCAATTTAAATTTTACCAAAATAGTCTACAACAGAAACAACTTATAACTCCTAGAAAAATATGAGTGTATCAATTAATGTAAAAGGCTTTAAATAAAATAAGAAATCACAAGGTTCATATTCAAATTATACACCACCAAATATGTGAATCATCCGACAAGAGATTGTTCCAGCTTAACGCTGTAATCTCATGTTCGAGTAACACATAAATACTCAAATGGAAAGCTTTTACCACCCATAGTATTCATACCTGTGGTCTAGACCATAACAAATTATACAAAACATGAATCATATAATTTAAAATGTGCCTTAAGACTTTGCTATAAGAATAAATTTATATCAAAACTCAGCCTTACATATTAAATATAATTCTTAAACATGCTTACCAAAGACATAAAACAATATCCCAAAATACCTGCTACATGTGACTGACATAATTCTAACTAAAAGGAAAAAAGGTTAACTTTAAACTGAGTTTTGAAAACAAACATTTGAAATTAAAAAAATTTCACTTGAATCGAAACATGAAAGAAATAAAATATAAATGATTTGAAAGTAAAAATTAGAGATAATATCAGTCAATAGGATTTAATGTATCTAGGGTCAATTTTATTAAATAATAAAAGAGATTGATAAAAATGGCACACATAAAATACAAGCTAAATAATTAAAATGAAAAAAGCATCGAAGGTTATAAAATACATGTTAACTGATTAAAATGGAAATAGCAACAAAGGTTATTTGCAACTGTGAAGTACCCCCTTCCCCAAAAAAAAAATTTAAAGGAAAATATCAAATTATTATACAGTCAACTATCTTTCATGATAGTTAATGCTGAATTTTAAAGCAAAATTTTAAAGGGAAAAAAAAAAAAAAGTATAGCAAAAATCAAAATGTTACGCTGAATGTGTGAGCCGCTAAAGAGGACAGGATACAAAATTAAGTGTATATGAAGATTAGTGTAACACCTATCCAAGAAAAAAAAAGAAAAGAAATTATTCAAAGCAATCTCTTGGTAAATAACATTTGAAAATTAGATTTTTTACTAAGTTATGTGATTCATATGACCGATTTTACCTAAGCTATTATTGTTGTTACAAAGAAAACAATATTTAACAAGCAAATAAATATCATCTAAACCAAAACTAATGCTGAAAAGGTATTGCGAAACACTTGAAAAAATTAAAAAGCTATTCATAATGGCCCTCGCCTCCACTAACAATAAAGTCAAGGAATCCCTATCAGTATACTTAAAACATCCATAAATTCCATATGTAAAGATTAAGGGGTCATCCTTTGACCAATAAGTAAAATCCATCAAAAAAGACCTGAGGTTTATGAACATTGTTGCTAAGAAAACTGAGCATATCCATATATTGCTATGGAAAATGAATGAGGAGGAATAGCTACTTAAAAACAAATAAGCATCCGCTACAAGGAACAAGTTAGAAACAACACAGCCACTCAGCAATCTCCAAATTACAATGAAGTTTCTTCCGTTCCCGATTCTCCTCACTAAGGCCTGGATGAAGATCCTGGTGTGTGGCAATAGAGCAATCACTTAGTATGGACCGAATAATTTATTCACTTTCTTTTAACGTGAACTTCTAATTAAACAATATTAGGAAGGTATTCCCTGACCCAAACAAAAGCATGCATTTTCATTTGATAAACATGATGAAATTATAAAAAAAAAAAAATGCTGAATAGGAAAACCTAATTTCACGATAACTAAAAATGGGGCAGAATACATTAATAAAAAAAAAATCAAGGGGGATGTTTGGTTTTGATTTATTTTTAATTTTTTTCAAAATAGGTCAGTAAAATTTTGATCATCAACTGTCGAATGCATAATAAGCTAATCCAAACATGCTGCAAAAATTCATTTTTGTTTAGCTCATCCAAATAATATATGGCCTGAACCAGACATCTCAAGAATTTCTTTGTATCTTCTATTGACTAGGTCCATTTTTATTTTACCACTTTATACTTTCATCTACCACTTCCTATGTCCTGTATCTAACACCATTGAAAAAAAATTACTTGCCTATATCCTATTTAAATCCTTATATTAATAGAACAGAAAGTACCCCCCCCCCCTTTTTTTTCTTGCTCTAACTTCCCTTAATTTCAAGCACCATTTCTTTTGACACTCTAATATCTCATTTTCATCCGGATGTACCTCCTAAATTTTCTGCACGCGAGCATGTGTGAAATCTTTCTGGGACGGAATATAGAAAATGCTAATTGGATTTACTTAAATTACACACACTCCCAAAGAAATGGCAGACTATCCTAGTACTACTAATTACATCAACAAAGTCAAGATGACATGAAAACAAAGCAATCAACTTTTCAAATAATCAGTTATTTAGATCTTACTTTTAACTAGTTGCAGGGAGAAACACCCTTATTAGGTCTCTTGGATAAACCTTTTTTCTACAGGTAGGGCATTTTCCCTGTGCAGTTACTGCTGTTTTAATGCAACCCTTGCAAAAAATATGACCACATTTTGTTGACATTTCTTCTACCAAAGGGCCCATGCATATTGGGCAATTGAAGACAGGTTCCTTAGGAGGTTCGGGTGACTTTCTTGCATTCTCACTCTGCAAAAGGAAGAAAGTAAGGAATTTGAACTCCAGGATTACGTCAGCAAACAACTGTTAGTTCTGTATATGTCTGAACCAGTGGATAAACAAACCAATGACTGATACAACTTACATCTTAATATATGCTAGATACAGATACCTAATTATGATAAACCCAATCATAAAATCTTTTAGCTGCACAATATGTTAAAATTGGTATGCCACATCAGCTTAAGCTTAAGAGGTAAGCCTGAGACCCCAGTACCCATCAAAGTTGAGGGATGCGATTCCAATTTCCGTTCCCAATCCAGCACTGTTGGGCTATACGTGGTATCCCCAAAAATGTTTAAAAGGGTATTACTTGGTCAATGAACAGATATTTATACAACTATGTAATTACCACATCTCAACTAAAGATTCTAATACAGTAATCTCAACAAGGTTAAACTGATGTTGCTTCTATACCAAAATTAATTAAAAACCCTAGATGCATAAAGATCAAGGTTTGACACAAATAAGAAATAGGAAACAATAAATATGTTTACACATAAATAGCAACAGCCAAACATGTATACATTACACATTAATAATAAATAGATCAAAGGCTTTTATTTAGTGTCTCTCTTCTTCCTATGTCTTCCTATACCTCTGTTTTAATACTATCTTCTATGAGATCAATTCATCACGCTGAGGCTTCTATAATTCTCTCCTCATACGACCAGACCATCTTACACAAGATTCCATCATACTGTCCTCAGTAGGGTGCTACTCCAACTCTCTCTAATAACACATTAATTCTAAATCTTATCTTTTGTATGCCCACTCATCCATCACAGCATTTTCAACTTCACATCGTTAATATATTACACATCTGGTATGTATTCTATATATATATATCAAAACAAAGTAAAAATTTAGGTTTGCGGGATTTTATTACCATAGAACTGCTACTGCTTTCCAAATTGATGACTGTTTGATTTTGGGGATCTTGCCTGGCCCGATCTTCTGCAATAATCATGAATGGGAGATGTTAAACCACTCAAATAATGCTATATCAGAAATAGAACTTTGGTAAACAAGCAAGGAGTGCACATGGGAATGGAACATTTTGCATAATATCATAAATACCATGGGTCACAACCAACAGGGACAAAATGAATGCATACGTATACTCAACACATACATTCAGTTCTTTCCATAATTTACAGTATTATTTATTGTTATCAAATAATGGATATTAAAAATCTAATGACATGGATTGATTCCTTAACTAATTAAAAATTCACGTAATTCACTGAGCCTCCTCTAGTGTGCATTATTTAAGATAAGACCTTTTTAACGTGTTTCAAGCACGTTGCACTAAATGGTCTACTAGAGTGAAAAACTCCTTGCATTGACAGTGGACCAATATTAAATCCCATGTCTAGAAATCTAAATTGTTCTTTAATAAGTTTCCTTATGCATTACTTCCCTATTTGGAAGCCACAAATATGGCTCCCTTTACTTTGTCTCCCTCTGATTATTTTATTTCCACACGTGGAATCTAAATAAGCCGGAACTGCCATCGATGACCAATAATATCACTGATCAAAAATGTAAAAGCACCATGCCCTGAGATGTTATACAGATAATGTTTCAAAAGGAGGCCTGGTGTTCCCAGTAGTCTATGACACAAAACATTATAAAAGCATATTGCAATCTATTTACAGCAAGCCAAACAGGTCACATCATGAAAGTTGAAGGTCCAAATTGGCTTGTGTGTGGATTTTATGATTATCTCAGCCCCCCATGCCTCACATAACAATAATCCATATAACCAATTTAAAACAAGCATAAATTTCATTGGGTTGCATTATCACATACAAACCACCAGCAAAAAAAGGATCTCAATCTTCATTCATTGTCCTTAATTCATCAAGAAACCTTCATTGGCTAAACTATCGGCTTAAACTATAGCACAGCAATTTTTTCAAAACAAAAAAAATAAATTATATAACCTATTAATCAAAATCATTATGAACACGCATTGTAGCATACAATCCCCATCCCTATCATATCAAAATTCAAAACAATAATAGGGAAGTGAGAATCTTGTCTTCCTTGAGACAAGAATATTCCCATAAACTGAAAGATCAACAAGTGTCAATTTCAAAGCTAAAAGAGAAAATGTTTTGTCTCGAGTGCACAAAACTGGTTATTAGACAAATTGAACATCCAGTTTAATTAAGGAAAATTACTTCTTCAATGAGGCAAGACCTAACCAGGGGCAGTCTACTGGTTATAAAGCCAACTCAGCCAAAAAACACTTGTCTCCTTTTGAAAACACAATTTCGTTCACCAGAACAACACAGGGATAAAGCGTAGTGTACAACGAAGAGTAGTAGACCACCAAATACTATGATGATTTTGTAATGAAATGGATCTCATTCAAACTCATCAAACCACTCACATCCCCATGGAATTAAAAAAAAATTATTAATAAAAATCTGCAAATCAGATTCATCACAAAAGTAAAATGACAAAAACATTTCGTCAGAAAAACAATTTTGCAGACCAGAACCATACAGTGAAGAAAAAGTGGAGTCCAACAAATATTAGACCACTACAGACACTGAATTTTGTAATGAAATGGAGGTCATTCAAACTCATCCAGACAGAATTAAAAAAAGGGAAAAAAAAATCTGAAAATCAAACTTCACAAGAAAACTAAAACCACAGAAACATTTCGTTAATGAAAATAAAGTACAGAATGCCACCTAAATCCACATCAACAACAGTCCTTCTGCGAATCCTCCTCGAATTGTTTTTAGCCTGAAAAAATCAAACAAAGAAGATTAGCTGCCAGCAAAGCTCAAAAACACGATAAACACCGGAAAAAAAAAGTCGGCAACAACAGGAAGCAGAATTTAAAAAACAAAATAATAATAATAAAAAAGAAGAACCTGAGCGAAAGCCCTAGGTGAAGATTCAATGACATCATCATCAATGGCGTCAACATCAATCATGGGAACTTGAATGGAGGGACCCTCTTCGTTGTCTTCCGGAAGATTCTCAGGCGGTTCACTGTTGAGGTCCAGCTGGAAAGGCGTCTTTCTGCGACGGTTATTAGTCCTCACCGCCCGAGAACTCATCTTCCCAACCTGCAAAATCAAACACGAAAAGCAGGGGAAGATGATGAGAATGCAACGTTGGGTGTATATATACGTGAGAGAGAGAATTTGAGAAGAAACGTACGCGGAGAGAGAGAGAGAGGGGTTAGGGTTGGGAATTGGGAATTGGGAATTGAGAGTGAGGAGTGAGGAGAGGCAATTATAGAGAGCGAGGAAAAGAGGGAGGGAAAGAGGGAGGGAGCCAGGGAGAGTGTGGTGGTGAGGACGGTGCTGTGGTGACCAAAACATTGAAAGAAAACGGCTCATGACGTGGCACTTCCTACGACCGATTACACACGTGCCATTGTCCCACCTCAAACACGCACTCTCTCTTCTCTCTTCCTTTTTAATTCTTCTGAGTTGTATTCTAACTTGTAACTGCTACTTCTTACTAACTCTTCATTTTTTATTATTATTTTTTTTTACAGTTCAGCTTTAACGTTTAAAAGTAATATTAAATAAATATATTTATTATATTCAAATTACAAAGTGTAATCAATATTTTTTGTTTGTTTATCCAGTTCCTTTGACTGAAATTAATATTCCTGTGTTTTGATTGAGATAGGTGACTACAAAATTATTTAATAATATTTTTATTAAAAATCACAATATTTAATGTTATAAATATATTTAAATTATAAAATATTTCATTATTTTTAATAAAAATTATTTATGTATTTTTATTATGGTATTCATACATTAAATTTTATACCGTTAATCAATTAAAACTATTGTAAATATAATTTTTATATTAATTATTATATACCAATATATTATTATTTATGCATCATTATATAATATATATATATATATGCATTTTTATTCATGAATATTTACCATCTAAATTTATTCCTCTCATTATTATATAAAAATAAATTTTATAATACAATGTTTTAACAGGTCTAAAAATACACAATAAAAATATTTTGTAGTAATATTTTCTTTAAAATAAAAAAAATTGCAAAATTTAATACATTAATAACATTAAATATTATAATTTTAATAAAAATACTATTTTTAAATTTTTATTTTATATATTAAAAAATTATTTATAAAATATACATTTACACGCATATATATAAATATGATACTTCACATGCACTTGTTTTTATGTCATGTGAAACGTACAAAATTCTATTTAATGAAAAGGGAAATATTCATTAAATTAAAATACACAGTATTTAATTTTTTTTAAAATAATTTTTTTATTATGTACTTAAGAAAACAAGATAAAAAATCAATAATAATAATTTATTAAAAAATTATAGTATTTAATATTATTATATGACTTTTTAATAAATTAAATATTATAATTTAATAAAAAATTTACATAGTTTATTAACCTCTGTTTTTAATATACATTGAAATTTGTTTATAAAATTAATAAAAATATATTTATTTTGCTATATTTAAATGATCCTTAATCGATACAATTATGATACTCGGCATTTAGATATTAAAAAATGTCATACATTTATTGTTCATAATTATTAAATATATTTTTGGGTCATTTAATGAAAATTAAGAGCTTCATGAAATTAAAATAATAAATTAATATATAACATTTATAGTTATAGTAAAAATATTTAATATATTACATTTAGTACACTCGTTATTTAATGTAAAATATTTATTGTTTATAATTAATGGTATATTTTTAGGTCATTAAAAAATTTAAATTATAAATTATTATATATTATTTATAGATATAACATAATAAAAAATATTTAATACAATACATTCAATGCACTTTGATTTATATATTTAACTCACCCGTTCTTGAGATTTTAAAAAATGTACTTCCTTGAATCATTATTTATTTTATTTAAGATTATTTATAAAGATTATTTTAAAATAATGTATAATTTAATTATACTTTATCAAAATATCTTTATGTAAAATTTAATTGATTCATTTATTCTTTTTTAACTTTTTAAAAGTTTCTTCAACATTTACACTACTTAATATTATTTTATAAAATATAAAATTAATAGTTTCAATTGTTAGTTTAAATATTTTTGTCGAATAGATTAATTTTATAAAATTTTATATAAAAATAAGATTAATAATATGTTATCACGTTAGTTTATTTTAAGATATAATATTTTCCAAATATAAATAGATATTAAAATTTTAATAATATAATTATAATTTTAAAATATATGAAATTTTATATAATATTTATGAAGATAATATAAAATAACTCATCAGTTAAATTAATTAATTTTGTATTCTATAAAAATTATTAAATGATATGAACGTTGAAGTTTAACATGCAATATTAATAAATATTAACTCAATAAAATTATATAATTATAATACTTGGTAAAAATCATTGTGCATATATTAAATATTGTATATTTTAAAAAATAATCTTCAATTTTAAAACATAAAAAATTTGGAAACATAAATAAAAATTAAAGAAATTGAAAAAGAAACCAATGGAATATATTATTGTTCTTTTATTTTAAAATTTAATTAGATCATTTTATTTGGAATAAAAGTTTTCTAAGCTAAAATGTTTAAAAAATAAATAAATTAAAAATTTTATTTTATTTAAAAATATAAAATTAATACATTTATGACATATACTACCGACTTACTAGTTGTTCCACCTCAACCTGTGTTTGAAATTTAAATTTTATTAAATGTAATTATATTAAATATTTTAAAAAAAAATTATTGTTTAAAGTGATCTTATCCGACTCTAGAAAAAGATTATATATTTTAGATGAAAAAGAAATACTTATAAAATATTCATTATTGTTAAAATTATAAATCTAATATTTAAATTTTAGGTCATATTTTGAATAGTTTAATATTTTAAACTAGAAATAAATATTTAATAAAAGGTATATTAAAAACTATTTATCATAGTTTAAAAGATATTCTCATGCAATAATTATATTTAAATAATTCAAATATGTAATAAATTTATTAATTTTTATTTAATTTAGTATCTACTTTAAAAAAAATCCTTACAAAATTTATAAAAATATTTAAGTATTACTATTAATAATTTATTATCGTATAATCCTAAATATAAACACTCTTAACTAAAATGTCTCAAAGTCTATGTATAGGAAACTTCAATTCGTTGCATCTGAAAAGAATTAAAACATTTATTAGTATAGTTATAGCAAAATGTTTAAGAATTATACTATTTTAAATTATTTTGAATTTATTAAAATAAGAACAATATTTTTAATAAAAATATATTAAAACTAAAAAACATGTCATTAAAAGCAATAGATTAAAACCACAAAAATTATTTAATATTTACTAAATAATGACATTCAATACAATATATTAAATGACTTTGATTATTACCTTTTGAATAATTATTAACCAAATATTATAATGATTTGATATATTCTTTAACCATTTTTCTATTTTGAAAATTCAATCAAATCACGAAACCTGGAATATAAACTTTTTTTTAATTAAAATGCTTCCATGTTTAGACTTGGACATTTATTTTATTTTATTTTATATATATCCATTTCATTCATTTAACTTAAAAATAGAATGAATAGATATTCATTTATTCATTGTTTGTACAATTTTAAATTTAATTAAAAATTTAATGTATTTTTTAACAGTTTTATTTTTTAAAATAGGAAACATTATTTGATAAAAAGTATTTAAAAAATAGAAAATAGTTGATTAAAAATATTTATAATACTATAATAATAAAATTTATCATATTATTTAATGAGAAAGAAAAAAAATCATTAAATTAAAACATTAATGAGACATTCAATATTGTTGATAAATTTTCTAAAAGTTGATAATGATATTTAATACAAATAAGATTCCTATTAAATGGATTTTTTTTAAAAAAATTATGTAAATGCACACATGATATATATATATATATATATATATATATATATATATAATCATTGAAAACTATTTGATATCATAAAATTTAATAAACTAATAAATTTAAGGCTTGAACATATGATTGGTTCTTATAAATATAACACATTTTGCAATAAGTCCTTATGAAAAAATTTTGTTAGAATTTAGTCTTTGAAATGTTAAGTTAGGATTTAATTTTTGTCATCGACATATTTCTATTAAATACGGAATTGGTTGATGGAGAATCAGCACTCTCACATGACATATCACGTCACTTAATTTTATTATTTAGAATTAATATTTACAAATAAGTCTATGAATGTATTTTAAATATTTACAAATAAGTCTTTTGTCTATGAATGTGTTTAGAAACTTATTTATAAATATTAATTTTAAATAATAAAATATTAAAAAATTAAATAACATAACATACTTCGTGAGAGTGTTGAGCTGATTCTTTGTCAACCAGCTTAGCACTTAACAAACGAAAATTGATAGCAGAAACTAAATTCCAACTTCTTAACACTTCAGGAACAAAATCCTAACAAAAAAATTTTATAAGAATTTATAGAAAATTCTATTATATTTATAGAAATCAATCACATATTTAAACCTAAAATTAAATATTATAAGTTTAATAAAAATTATTGTTTATTTTTTTAATTATGTGACCTTTGTGACACTAAAAAGATTAAAAGTAAAAGATAATTGATAAAAAGCAAAACTTTTATTATTTAATAACTAAACTATTACATCATACAATCTAAAATATAAAACTTTCTATGTTGGATGAATATTTCATGATAATTGAGGTATGTTGGCATTGGTCGAACTAAGTTGTAATGAAGAGTGTTAGAGTATTGTGAATGAATGACCTGGTTGTAACATCCTATGCTTTGTGTCATGCCTATAGTATATCATTGAGAAAAATTTGTAGTACTTTGTGAGCAGAAAGAAACCGTGTATGTACAATAGCCCCTGATGTCAACAATGACATCAAGCTGATGTCATCGGTGACATCACGCTGATGTCATTGGCGACATCATGCTGACATCATCGCTTATGTCATTGGTGATCTCACGCTTACATCATCGGTGACATCACGCTGACATCATCGCTTACATCACATTGACGCTGACATCTTCAAAAATTTTCTATAAATAGGGGGCTTCACATGAAATTTTCATTTCTTCACTCCTACCCAAGATTTTCGAAGGTTCTAAGGTCATATCTCGCCATTTTCTCCCATACTAAACCTCCTAAACTTAGATTTCTCTTCAGATCTGTGATTCTACGTCCATTCTAAAGGATTTCAAGTAAGTTTCTCTAAGTTTGAAGTTAGATTTATCGTTCGTTTCTCTTCTTCTTCTTTTTCTTGTAGATGTTCATGATGTTCTTAGGAAAAACTCCGTTCTAGAGTTAAATCTTTGGTTAAATCCTTGTAAAAGCTCTGTTTTGATGTAAGGGGGCTC